TGTCTCACCTTGTTTTGTCTGTCTCATGATGCCAGAAAGCACTTGGAGATCCTTAGATAGGGACACAGAAATAAGGTACTGATCTACAACTCCTCCTGGTGAAACTAATGGGGAAGTTCCGATTTTTGTATACAGCAAGGGAAATTAACCCCGAGGAGAGGACCTGTCCACACCTCCACTTACTCTCTCATTAAGATTGCAGTATTTGAGTCAAGCTACATGGCAGCTGGTTTGGTTACTAATTCCATTGATTTCAGAGGACAGTCTGGATTTAAGGTGCTCAGCACTGTGATTACAGAGATCCCAAAACAACAGGCTATAAGGCATGGGAAGGTTTATGTATGGATCTTTTGCACTGCACAATTTTTCTAATCTCTGTTGTAGGAGATCCCATTCAGGAGGCAGCAGCTTTGATCCTGGCTTTAATGCTGCTATTCTCTAGCAAGAGACCTCTCCTGCCTCCATTACCCACTGCAGGTTGCTCATCAGGCAGTTATTTAGCCTCAGTGTCTGCTAGCCAGTTAATCCCAGTAACTGAGGATTTTTTTCAAGCACCAATGTTCACCATACTTCGAACAAACACATTAATCTCTCTTAGTCACGAGTGTGTCTATCTGTACTATAAGAATGGATGCCCTAGCTTGAAGACTGCTTCTGTTCCCTGGGCTAAAGTTTAGAACCCAGTTGTTGTCATTAAGCCTTGTATCCCACCAGGGTACTGTGGGGCTACTTATAGAATAAACAAAACAAATGTATTTCCAGGCTAGAGACGCTTTCAGTTTGCAGGTCATCTGGCAGCATTCACAGCCGATGCAGAACAAGAGCAGAGCTTGTTATTACACCTCCCAAAGGCTGTCCTCCACCCAGTGTTTACCTGCATGCAGAACTCTTTGGCTTTGTCTGACATCACTGATAAGCCCCTGTTCAGCCAAGGACTTACACACGTGCTTAAGTTTAAGCCCCTGAGGAGGCTGCCTGACTACCCAGGACCTAGGGTCAATCACATGCAGTGCCCTTGGCAGGGCAGGGGCAGCAATGCACAGTCCTTGTGGAGCAAAGCCTGTGTGAGAACAAAGGGTTACAGATGCTGGGGAACTGTTTTCTAATAAAAGGCACTTGTCTTCCTGGCACAGCCCATCAAGGCCATCCTTCTGTGGACAAAAAAGTTCTCCATAAATATCTACTGATTCGTGTCCAATCTTTTCACACGACTGTGTAAATATCAATGCAATTGTTTTTATACAGGTAATGTAAATGCATTCTAATATCTGCCTTCCTCCAAGGGTTACAATCACACAACCTCACCACTCTTCAACCAAAAGCAATACTAATCATCATGCTGAAAGCAGAAATTCTATCCTCCTTGAGTTTGGAGCTGCGACTTGCCCACCTGAGGTGCATCATAGCAGCTTCCATCTGATGCCAACCCCACAAGCCCGTCCAGCAAAGCTGCACCCACAGCCAGTGGAAGGACTGTTTTAGCAGGGGCTGCATCACCAGGCTTGGTAGCAATTTCAGCTGCATGCAACAAGTGCCTCTGCTAGTTTTGTTCTTTTCTAATCATTGCCATATTACCAGCAATTGCACTCAAAGAAAATAATTCAAACTTGTTGCAAATGTATATATCTAAGACAATAAATAGCTTTGAATGGAAAACCATCTTCTTGTCTCTGTCATAAAATACACCCACAACACAACAGTATGATTTTCAATGAAGATATACATTATTGACAGCCCTCCTTGGAGGGTGAGAGCAGAGAACTGCTCCCTGTGTAGCAGCACCACTACAAGCTGTCAGGAGCTCAGAACAGAGCTCCAGGTACATCAGCCTCTCCACAGTGGCTATTTTAGGCTACTCCCTTGGTCAGGAAGAGCACTGAGCTGAGGTTCAGTTCAGTGGGGAACTGTAGCATGCTGTTTCAGCAATTCATTATCAGTAACAAATTGCATACCAAAAGAAACAGGGCCACTGAGACTGAAATCCCTCCTGCTAGCAACTGAAAATGAAGAGCGTGGAGCATCTGTGAGGTCCCTTTGAAGAAGCCACAGAATATGGGATATGCTGAGTAAAAAGCACCCAGGGTACTCCTCCTCTTGAAAAAGATGAAGAGATAAATAGCTAATTCTTTCGTCTTGTAAAAGGACTCTGTTGCCCAAAACCTGGGGGCTTCATATATCTGCTTGTCCCTGCAGCGAGTCCTCTGGCAGAAGGACCTTTGTGCCTGAAACCCAGTTTGCCACAAAGACAAAACCCCACTGATAAATTGTTAACTCTGTCCTAGTCAGGAGCAGAGGTTGGATTCTTTATGCTGTTTTCAGAGCAACTGCTATGGCTAATGTAAGAGCACACCTGAACTGAAGCCAGCAGTGGCTGAATTTGGGCAGACACCCTGGAGAACTGCAAACAGAAAGGTTACTTCTGAAAGAAACAGGGACTGATGCTAGCCAGGGAACCGCACAAGCGATGCTGCTGCACCCTGTGCTATCCAAAGGTGTCTCCAGCTTGCTGGGTGATAACAAGTCTCAGTGGGTAACTTCAGTTCACATTACTAGAGCTCAGAAGTCAACACAGGACTGGATAAGGAAAATGCTGTTCTCAGACTCCAGCAGTTTCCACACAGGGAGGCACACACAGGGAGGGTGGTGAGGACAGCAGACCTCAGATACTTAACTGATTCACTTTAGAAGCCAGTGCTCCAGAAAACAGATTGACCGTATGAGAAATGAAGGCAGGAAATTCCAAGACAGCCCCAATTTAAACTTTCATAGAGCAAGACTGATGCTAATCCTCTGTGCTACCTGAAGCTCGCATGCAGTCCCCTGCTAACAGTGATAACTGAGCCTACAGACCTTGAGCTTCTCCACCCAAAGAGACCTGAGGACAGCAGCGACACCATGACCTGCATGTGGACTGTACATTACTGCTGGGGCAAGGAGTCATCCCAAAGGAGTAGCCATCCCTGTAGTTTTACATCTCTGAGGACAACACATCAATGCATGGAGTGACACCCATGCACCAGCTCCCCTGCTTTCCACACAACCCAGCTCAGTGCGGGCCCATGGCAGTGCTGTGTCTGCACCAGCCATCATCAGCACAGCAATACCATTGCAATGGGTTCAGCTAGGCACCCATGGTGTGAAAAAACTGCTAAATACAGGATGGGAAATACAAATTCATCTTCTCCCTTTCCTTACCTTCTGTCTCTGACCTTGTCCGCCCAGACCTGCCAGGCTTCAAACCGCTTCTCTTAGCTGTCTTACAGTCTTAAGTCTCGGATGATTTGAATTAAATAAAGGATATTAAAATCCACAACTTTAACCATGTCTTAATACTGCAATGGGAATTCTTGAGTTCAGTCAAGAATTTTGTATTTGCACTTTCTTATTTTTGTAAAATATTTGTTTTCATTAAAAATGATTGATACCCTTTGGCTACCACCCCTTCCTGCAAACCAGGAGGAAAACACTGCTCACACATACATTTCTAAAGCAATGCAGTCTCAGATTTCTGGTTACATTTATTCTCAGGGTTCAATTCAATCCACAACGGGATTAGGAAATGTTGAATGGTACACTTGTTAGTTACAGAGCTCCATGTTTTGTACTGGGACTTGTCCAGGAAGCTCTTAGAGGGGAAATCAGAAATCAATCAAAAATGTTCTAAGATTGCATGAAGTGTCCTGAAGCCATAAGGAAAGTGAAGTTTTGAAAAACATTTTATATTTAAGACTAATTGGATTTCTCAAAAAAGTAGAACAAATGAAGTGCCCAAAAGGAGCAAGCGGGCAGCAGAGCCAGGCACCCCACTGGCCCCAGAGGCACCCCTAGAGCAGGGTCCTGGGACACAGCAGCCCCAAGGCACCCACTGTTCTGCAAGGCAGTGGATCTGCTTCACATCTGAAACACATCTGCCCTGGATCCAGCACACAGCAAGGAGGGAGACAAGGAACCTTCCCTGCACCTGCAGCTCCCAAGCGGTCGCTTAATATTCACTGACAAAGGTGTGGATACTACAAGCTGACCCAAAGGGTACTTGGATGTTACCAGGGACTCCTTTCCTACAGCATTGCCCTTAAACATTAACTGTGTCTGCTCCCAGCTCTGGAAAAGCTGCCAATTAGATAACATGGAGCAAATAGAGTAAAAAATAGGAGGCAGAGGTCTGTAATTTAAAATTTCATGGAAAACCAAACACACATGCAACAGAGAAAGCATTGAGGTGAAGATGTGCTTGCGAATGAGGGGCCACAGCAGACCTGTATGGGACAGCATGGTGTCAGTACCTCAGCACGTCCTTCACATACTTGCAAAGCCTTCAATCAATTTTAAAATCCCAGAAATAGTCTCCTTTCTCACTAAAGCAGCAACTGTATGGGCATCCTGAACAGAACCAGCAATCAAGCCTGAGGAATGGCCTCCTGCCTTACTGCTTAAAAGCAAAACCAATGTGAATACCCCCTAAGAGCCCTGTCCCTCTTAAAGTCACTACCTCAGCCCCCAATAGCTACTGAAAGAGCATTTTACTTTGAGTTATTACTGCCTGGTTAATGAAGGAATTATGAATATTGCTGACCCAAATGTTTTCATCAAAACTGATTCTTTTTCCTTGATACCGCATCCTTTTTCTAATTAGAATCTCTACAGAAAACTACTTTTGGTGAAGAGTACCAGCATTTCAGACAGAAAATCCATTGTTTCCTTTAAACTCTGAAATGTGCTTTAGGGCATTTTTTTCCATGCTTTTCTTTTGACACTTAATTATACACTATTACAAATTATACCCAGCTTTTTCATTACACACCGACCAGATAATGCTTTGATCTATAAGAAAACACATCTCAAACAGTATCAGTATTAGTTTTCTTACCAGCAAAATAACAAAACCAGATGGAGCATCAGGCAGCATGATCCAGTGCATCTACAGCCACCCTGTGACAAGGCAGTACAACACAGGAACACCTCCTCCATCCCTCCCAGACCTTGCATCCAGTGTTACTCACAGCCAGGATCGCTGCACTCCAGCACAGGTCACTGCTGACTTCTGTTGAGCATGAAACAAGAAGGGTTCTCCAGGCAAGCACAAGAGCTGTGGTTTCCATCTTGATGCACATTTACAATTCCCCTGGTCAGAAAAGCAGGATCTTTCTTCCCACCCAAAGTTTTGTGACTCTGAATGAGGCCTCCCAGGGAGCTGACACAGCAGAAAGGTGTTATTTTTCCTGCAGGCAGGAAGGATTCCAAGGAGGAATTTCTTGTCCCACACCCACGTCACAAACCCTGGTGTAGAGGAAAAGGAGCTCCAGGTTTGATTTTATATTTTCTTTCTCATCTGCTGGAAGGCAGGGTATGAGCAAACTGAGGAAAACAGATCTAAATCAAATTGAACTTAATAACCTCTAGAAGCAGGGAGAGCCATGCTCAAATCTAACTGCAACAAAAGCTTCCAGAAGGAGAGGGGAATCCCTTGTAGAGAGGGTCAACCCAATCGAAATGGCACTTCAAAAGTAAACTTCCCTAAACACCAGGTCTACACGTGGAGCTGAGAGACCCTGAAGCACCCTCCTGATCCAAGAGCCTCACTTTTACATCCCTACTCAGCTCTACCCTCCCCCTGTAAACACTTTCCCCCAAACCAGTAGAGAGCTCCATAACCTTCAATTCAAAGGCCAAAGGTGCAAAGTGGAGGCAGCTGCCCTAGATGAGGTGGAATGAGCAGGAGGGGCTCAGAGCACCTGAGTACTTCCCCAGTCTTGTGCTGGAGGCTGCAGTGCTGCCAGCCCTAGGCAAGAGCAATGCTATTTGAAGGGCAGCACTGCACGTTGCAGCATAGATAGAGCCTTCGTGTGCTCCTTGACACAGGGATAAGAATCAGTAGTGCTGGTGGCTCCAGCCTTGCTGTGTTGGGCAAGGGCAGCCCAGCTATGAGCTCTTCTCCCCATTGCCCACATGAAGCCTACAACCTTCTTCTGGGGGTGAAAAGAAAGTGGCCTTGGGCATAAAAACATTTATCTCTTTTTCTAGCATCTCCTGGCTTTTTGGCCCTCATCCACACAGCAGATGTCTCTGAGCTCTGTCCTGAACAAGGTTTTGGCCTTTCTCCAGCTCACCTCAGAAACCTGCTCTCAGGGATGTATCTGAGCTCCTTTCCAGAAAACCTCCACCTTCTGGGAACTCGAGACTTCTCCAGATGTTCCCAGGCTAGAGGAGCTCAGCTCTGTCACCTTATCACCTCCCACCATCCCCAGCCTGGTGCCGGGATGCTTGGCCATGCACTGGGGGTTGTGGTCTCTGAACGAGAAGCGTGGCCACTACAGATGCAGGGCCACCCTCCACCCTCAGGGCTGAGGCTGCTCTGGGTTAGGAGCCAGCCTGAGGGTATTTGTGTCTGGGTGCCTGCATCCTGCCCGGTTTGGTTTGCAGCAGGGCTCAGCACCACTGACCTTCCTGCCTGTCTGAGCAAGGAGCCTGATTTCTGCTGGTTGGCAGCAATGCAGCATCAGTTGGCTCTTTGGGAGAGGAACTCATTGCCTGTGTACCGGACTCACTTTTACCTTGCACAAAGCTAGGGAAGAGCCCTATGGATATAATAGTTCCTGTAAATATTCCTACACCCAGAAAGCACTGACACTGCAGTCCTTCCTGGCTGCAAAATATCTTGCATCAAGGTCAAAACCCAGGACTAATGACACCCTGCTCTGACATCAGCCCCTGGCTCTCTATGGGTGCACCCTCAGGCACTGCATTTCCAGCACATCAGATACAGCAAGGTACAACATGGATGGTGCTTCTGCAAAGAAATTTCTCCATTGGATAAATGCTTTCTGCATCCTCCTGCTGCTGCCAGGGGTAAAGCCAGGCTGTGCTCAGAGCAACCGCATGAGTTATTTCTAAATCCAAGAGGGAAGGTATCAACTTGTGATCGCCCTTTGAGACAAAAGATAGCACAAAGCATCCTATAAATTGACAGTAGAGTCAGAGTACATTAAGTAAATATCTGCCTATTTGCTCAGCTCCAAGTTTCCACAAGAGCCTGAAGGGGAAATAGCTTTTCCTTGATAAATAACCATGAGCCACTGTTTTCCTGGCCAGGTCATCCCTCCTGGTGATAGTGGAATGTCTTCACTTTAAAATTTAAGTTGATTTAGGGCTGATCCTCCAAGTATCATTCTTTAAAGGGACTATTGTTATTGCACACTGGAAGATAGCCCGTTTCGGCAAACATGCCCCATTAGCAGTGATTTATCTGCACTGTCACATTTTTTCATTAATCTTCATTTCAAATTCATTTTTCTCTCCCACACAGCCAAGAAATTCACATTCCTGACCAGCACCAGGTGCTCCCTAGGATTACATCAAACACCCCCATGGCCCACAGCAGCAAAACTACCTGGCAAACCTTGGGAAGAGCAATAGGAAAGCAGCAGCTGCGCTCTTACCGCTGTCGCTGCACAAAGCCGGCAGCCTCATCAGGCTCTTCACTTTGAGGACCAAGCAAATATTTAACAAGTACCCCTTGCACTGTACCAGAGTTCATTATCCAGTCTCCTGAGCTCCTCCAGTCAGTAATATCCTCTAATTGATGTGATTTGGCACTTGGCCATAGGCAAATTGATTTGTAGACCAGCGGGAGATGGCAGATGCCCTTTACACTTGAGAAAAGTGGCATGTGGCTTTGTTTACCGCCTGCTGCAAGGGGATGCCACTGCAAGAGGTGCCTTTTAGGAGTGCAGGAAGCAGGTCTGCCTCCTTGGTGTGCTCTGACCACAGCCACTATCAGATGACAAGTTGTGACTGCTTGGGTATCACTCCAGCCATGAGGTTCACCCTCCCTCCTTGATCCCTGGGAGGCTGGTGCACAGGGTGAGGAAAATGGGGAATTCCCTTCTCTAAAACTAGGTAAGATGCATGAGGTATCTCCATGCCCTCTTCTGAAGGGTGCTCCAACACAGGCTCCCTCTCAGGGCTGGCATTGATCTTGGTTCTGGGGTATGGGGAGTTGCCTCTGCTTGAGTAAGGGCAGGAGGAGTAAGGACAACTCGCCTGCTCCCAGAGCAAAGGGAGGCTGCAGCCTGCTGGGGTTTAGTTCCAGGAACCCATCGGTGCTGCAGTGCAAGGGCTGAACTCCAAAGCCTGCATAGGTTTTCTTTCCAAGATGCAGGAGTTCAGTGCTGAGCCTTCTTGGTCATCGTTAGTCATTTATAGGTGGATTGCTTGGGGTTTTGGTACCATACAATTTCTGCTTTCACTGTTTTCAAAGGTTGTTGGTTTATCTACTACTTTTTTTGTTTTGCTTTCACGCTTTCAGTTATATTATCATGCGTGCAAATTGCTTTGTTACAAATTAATGTAGGGCATAGTCATGTAACTCTTTTACTCAAGATGCTCTATAAGTTTTTAGCATTTGTATGCAACTTGGCTTCAAGATTTTACCTCCAGCATATTAATACTGCAACAAAAGGAAGTCAGCATGCAATCCCAGCTGTTATCATCAGCCCAGTACTCTGAATATTCAAGTTTACTTGAAAGCCTCCTTTTACAATTATACAAAAAAAATTAACATAGTAGAAGAATTAAGAATCTCACTTTTCAATCATTTTATTCCAACAATTTTAGGCTAGCACTGAAATCATTTTCTTATCACACAGGAGAACCACATTTATCTTAAAGGTATTTATTGATAATTGAAAACAACAAGATTCTAATTACTTGTATAAAAATAATAAATCTGAATAAAGCTGCATGACTGTTAGAGATGGAGGGAGAGATCCTCCTGCTCAGACATCACATTACTCCAGTCATCAAGGATCTGACAGGGCTGGAAGGATTTTTCCCGAGCACTGGCCAAATCCCACGCGGAAGCCGTTGCCCTGGCAGTAACCTAGGGCCAGAAAACAACAGACAGCTTGTTCTGTAAGGAGAGTAGGATTTTACCAGGAATAAAAGTGAATAAAGGCATAGAGAGACCAAAGCCAAGTGGAAACATTTCAGAAATGCAATGACGGGTAAAAATAAGAGTTCAGGTAGCCCAGGAATACATAAAAAAGGTAAAAGAAGCACAAAATGTAAAACATGGCAACAGTGAGTTCAGTGAATTGATCAAAGAGCAAACAAGATGTGCAACATTCCTGTTTTCAAACCTAACTTGCAGCATCATCAATCCAACTGGCAAGCTGATTCACTGCCTGGCCCAGCCTTGTAATTAATCAAGTAAATCTGGATTCTCTTTCTGCAGCATTAGGCCTGCTCCCGGGAGATCAAGATGCTTATGACCAGAAAGATGATCATTAAACCCCTGCAAAGAGCAGGACCTGCCCTTACAGAACCTGTTTCACTTGCTAAAAACAAGTAGTTTAGTTCCATGAGAAACGCAGCATCTGTCTCAAAATATTCATTTATCCTCTATTACATAAACAAGCACTGAAGATCTGCTGACTGCTGCTGAACTTACCAGACTGTGACAACATCTCTAACTACAGGATGATTCAATCTCTCCCTACTCCTGCGTGATAGGATGGATGACATTTGGATGGAGATGATGCAGTGCCTCTTGTTGCCATGGGCCAGCTGAGCTGCTCCAGAAACAGCCTCCGCTAGTAAAGCTGCAGGTGAAGGAGAGGAGGGGACAAAGCCAGGGGCTTCTGGCCCATCTGGGAAGACTATTCTGGGAAGAAACAGCTGAGGAGATCTACTGTAGCTCTCCACCAAAATACCAGATCAGAGGAAGGACACAAGTGGAATATGCTGCATTTTAAGGACTGATTTTCACAGTTAAGAGATGGACTTCCCTGAAATAATGGAATACATCATCATCCCTGTATGTGATAAAAAACAGCTGCCTTTGAGAAGGAGGGAGCTGAACAGAACACACCTTAACTCCAATTCCCACCCTTAGCACGGATCGGTGGAAACCTCCTCCAAGGAAGAGGAGGATGGGTGGCTCAGGCCACAGAGCAGCCAAAGTTATTGCAGCATGAGGACAGACCCTGACAGCACTAACCAACCACGCAGCTCTCACAGCCAGGCTGAAATTAAGTGTTTCCAAGGACAGCAGTGTGTCTAAGTGCTTGAGTAACAGCCCACAGACACCACCTCAGTATCTGCCAGGTAATCCCCATTTGTAAGCAATACTGGAGCAAGACACTTGCTTTAGGGCTCAGCTCAATTTCCATTTGTTTCATTAGGCTTCATTGCCAGCTTCCCTTTGAGCATCAGCTTTCCTTTGAGTGCCAGCTTATTATTTCAGCCCAGTTTAGTTATCCTTGCTGTCAGCTACAATTTAGAGCAGTACCAAGGAGCAGCACATTTAACAAAGCAAGCCCTGTGCTGCCAGCACAGCAGAGTGCCAAGGAGCTACAGGGAGATGTTTGCAGCCAGCTGCAGCAGATCATCAGCAACCTTTCCCTCCCAGTGCTCTCTTCTGAGATTCACTTCTTGGGAAAAATACATTTCTCTCATTTTATGTGTTAGGGCTCTGAAATAGCTCCCACAAGGGGAACAAGAACACAAAGTTGAAATAGGAGACTAGAAATTATGGGTTGGGCATTTGGCAGGAGATAATGGTGCTGCCTCAAGAGGGGATGCAATAGTCCTGGCCCTGCCTCAAG